TCTGTCCGTTTGCTATGGAATACGTAGATTGTCATGATTTACACTTTCCTTTTAATTGATGTTGTTATTATCAATCCATTTTATTTATTATCTCTCCCTGCAAAATGTCCTCAGAAGCACTTTAACTACCCGTTGGGTTGCTCTCCCTACATGTCTTTTAAAACCCTCCTACTAGATACATCCTACCTCTGTTCATGCCCAGCGTTTATATTTTAAAAAATTAAACAATAATAATAATAATAATAATAATAATAATAATAATAATAAACTTTATTTATACCCTGCCACCATCTCCCCAAAGGACTCGGAGCGGCTTACATGAGGCCAAGCCCAACAACACATCATAACAGAAAAGCAATAACAACAATACAAAGCAATACAAAATAATATAAATCACATGTAACAATATCACACAGGATTTAAAAACTTATGGTCAGGCCAGATGTAATGATTTAAAATTTAAAAAATAATGCTGGGTATGACAAGATAGGCTATATCTCGTAGGAGGGTTTTTAAAAAGTGAGGGTTTTAAAAAGTGAGGTGTACAGTCCAATGCAACCCAATGGTTAAAGTGCATTTGTAAGGACATCTTGCTATTACATCTGGCCCGGCCATAGGTTTTTAAATTGTTGCGTGTTATTGTCTATATGTGAGTTATATGTTATGTTGTGTCTGCACTGTCTGTTTTTGATAAGGCCAACTGGCTAATCAATAAAAATTGTTGTTGAGTTATATTAATTGTATTGTTTTATTTGCTTATTGCTTTGTTGTTTTTACTGATGTGTTGTTGGGCTTGGCCTCATGTAAGCCACCCCAAGTCCCCTTGGGGAGATGGTGGCGGGATATAAATAAAATTATTATTATTATTATTATTATTATTATTATATACATCATCATAATACATTTTATGTGTTACCTGCCTCTCCTGATGGGTCCATATGTTTTAAGGCATTGAATAATTTCCTTTATGTAAGTCGCCTTGAGTCCCCTTCGGGGTAGAGAAAGGCAGGGTATAAATAGAGTAAATAAATAAATGAACATAAAATATATACAACAAGTTACACAATTAAGAACACTAAATTATATATATACATACACACACACACACAAACAAACACACCACCAAACATAATACAAAAATATTGGAGTCTTAGTTTCTTAGGTCTGTTTCTGGGGTTATTTGGGACACTGATTCAGAAAATTGTATTGGATAGATCCCATCAGCTCTCGTTTCTTAAATATGGTTCTCATGATTCCTCATGGGCAAACAGATATTTGGGTTGTTGTAGGTTTTTCCGGGCTATATGGCCATGTTCTGGAGGCAATTTTTCTCCTGACATTTTGCCTGCATCTATGGCAAGCATCGTCAGAGGTAATGAGGCCATGAAAGCCTTCGACAATACATTAAACAGATATTTATTTCTTTATTTCTAAATTTATTACGGAGATTTCTATATTGCCTTTCCCAAGGAGAGACTCAAAGCATATGTTCTGTGTGTTGTCAAAGGCTTTCATAGCTGGAATAACGGGGTTTTCTGGGCCTTTTTAATGTCTGGAGCAACTTGATTAAATGCAAGTCACTTCTGGTTTGAGAGAATTGACTGTCTGCAAGGACATTGCCCAGGTGATGCCCTGATGTTTGATGTTTTACCATCCTTGTGGGAGGCTTCTATCATGCCCCTGCATGGGGAGCTGGAGCTGACAGAGGGAGCTTAATCCACTCTCCCCAGATTTGAATTGCTGACCTATTGGTCAGCAATCCTGCCGTCACAAGGATTTAACCCATTGTGCCACTGGGGGTTCCATGTTTTCCAGGCTGTATGGACATGTTCCAGGTGCATTATCTCCTGGCATTTCGCCCACATCTATGGCAGGCATCCTCAGAGGTTGAGGAGTATGTTAGAAACTAGGCAAGTGGGGTTTGTATATCTGTGGAATGTACAGGGTGGGAGAAAGAACTCTTGTCCTGCTTGAGGCAAGTGTGAATGTTGTCGTGATTTTAGAGTTTTTTAAATACTCGTAGCCAGATTTTGTTCATTTTCATGAAAATCAAAACCATGAAAATGAACAAAATCTGGCTACCAGTATTTTTAAAAAAATCTAAAATCAGGAGAAGTAAATAAAGGCGGAACACTAAAAAAAACCTCCCAACAAAGGATTCCCCCAGGCAGGCATCAACCATTCAATGCTAATCAAGGTCACACTTGCAGCAGTCACACTTGCCTCAAGTAGACAAGAGCTCTTTCTCCCACTCTGGACATTCCACAGATATATAAATTTCACTTGCCTAGTTTCCAACATACCTCACAACCTCTAAGGATGCCTGCCATAGCGAAATGTCATGAGAGAATGCTTCTGGAACATGACCATACAGCCCGGAAAACTCACAGCAATCCATATGTTCTGTATCTCGAAAACTGGAGCTCACAGGGGAAATTGGTGGCATTTTTGGAATCATTTATATTTTTTCTTGTAAGCTGCTCCAAGTCTCCTCGGGAAGAGGGGGTAGGATATAAATAAAGCATTATTATTATTATTATTATTATTATTATTATTATTATTATTATTAATATACCCAGGAATAGGGGTAACATTCGAGACACCAAAGCATGTGTTAACCAGATGATGATGATGATTTTGTTTCATTATTGTTGTTATTATTATAAATATATATCACAGTGTACATTAGGGAGTAGGAGGGAGGGTAAAACTTATTGTTATTCTTAGTAGTTTAATACATTTTAGCACATGTCCAATGAATTATCATGGAAAAGGAAAATGTTGGGGAGGGCAGGTTAACAAAACATTTTATAACATTGTATGCTGTTACATCCAAATTTTTAGTCTCTATTACAGGCCTGGGCAAACTTGGGCCCTCTAAGTATTTTGAAGTCCAAAATACCTAGAGGGCACAAGTTTGCCCATGCCTGCTCTATTATCTTGACATTATTTATTTAAACTACTAAAGGTTTTGAAAAGTCTTCTGCATAAAGGAGGGATCTTTTTATTTAAACCTACTGTTCATTTCTTCTTTTATTTATTTATTTGCAGTATTTGTATACTGCCCTTCTCAACCTTGAAGGGTTTATAAATAAGTCTCTATATCCTTTTAGCTATATTTTCTTTCCTTTCTTTCTTTCTTTCTTTCTTTCTTTCTTTCTCTCTCTCTCTCTCTCTCTCTCTCTCTCTTTTTAGGGCCTTTCCACATTGCCCTTTATCTGAGGATCTGATCAGTGTGGATGGCCCTAAGTTTTACCTCTTGGGTTACTTCTTTTCATTACCAAACCAGTCTTAATAAAATATTACCTAAATCTGTTTGTTAGAATGTACCGTATATACTCGAATATAAGCCGACCCAAATATAAGCCGAGGCACCTAATTTTATCACAAAAAACTGGGAAAACATATTGACTCGAGTATAAGCCGAGGGTGGGAAATGCATCCACTATGGGTCAATTTCAAAATAAAAATAGATACCAATAAAATTACATTAATTGAAGCATCAATAGGCTAAATGTTTCTGAATATTTACATAAAACCGCATTGAGTTGCCTGTTCGGGCTGAAAAATGCGGTATAGAAATAAAGCAAATAAATAAATAAATAAATAAAACTGTAATTTAAGATAAGACTGCCCAACTCTTATTAAACCATTATTCTAACCTCCTTCAATGTAAATGTACTTATTACTAAAATAATAAATATAATAAAAATAATAGAGTAAAATAATGAAAATGCAATAAAAACAATAATAGTAGAGTAAAATAATAAATGTAGTAATAATCAGGTAAATACTGTAAATGTAATAATAATAATAAATAGATTAAAATAATAAATGTAATAATAATAATAGGGTAAATACTGTAAATGTAAAAATAATAATACTAGAGCAAAATAATAAATAGAATAATAATAGAGCAAAATAATGTAAATATAATAACAATAGAGTAAAATAATAAATGTAATAAAATAATACTAATAGCAGAGTAAAAGAATAAATAACCTTGACTCGAGTATAAGCCGAGGGGAGCTTTTTCAGCCTAAAAAAGGGGCTGAAAAACAAGGCTTATACTCAAATATATACAGTATATACTTAATCAACCCAAAATCTATTTTTCCTACTATATATCTTTATTCTTCTACTACCCAGTTTCTCTTCTATGAGAAGTTTGATTACATTAACCACCTTAATCACATATTTAACATATATGTGTATCAATTTTCAAATTCTTGTCTATCAGGTTTAAGATAACATTCTAAATCTCTTTAACATATAGTAAAGGTACTACGTGTAAAGAGATTCAGAATATTATCTTAAACCTGATGAATAAGAATTTGAAAATTGATACACATATATGTTAAATATGTGGTTAAGTTGGTTAATGTGGTCATTACCACATTAAGTCTAGTCACAGCTTGACACTGGGTGGTGGTGCTCATATCCATTTCTGAGCCAAAGAGCCGGCATTGTCCATAAACACCTCCAAGGTCATGTGGCCAGCATGACTGCACAGAATGTCGTTACCTTCCCACAGAAGCGGCACCTATAGATATACTGACATTTGTATGTTTTTGAACTGCTAGGTTGGCAGAAGGATGTGCGTTTTGATTATCAAGTTTACCGAAAATTTATTATATCTACTATATATCTTTATTCTTCTACTACCCAGAAACCCAAGTCTGCTTGATCTAGTATCTGTTTTTGTAGTCTCCTTTGAAGGTGGTGAAAGAAGACGTGAAAAAGACTGAACTAATTTACTATTAATATCTTAGAATGTGCATTTATGTAATTTGCCAGGCTGTTAATTTTATAGTAAGAAAGATGATAATTTTTTAAGTTGTTGAAAATTTTGTAATGTAGTAAACAGTCTGAAGGGAAATGAAACGGAATGGTTAACTGTTGTTTTGCAGTTGGAAAAACATGATAGATAAAAGGAATTCAAAGGATATTTTTTTTAAATTTGTTTTTGAAATTTATAATAGCTTTTTCATCCCATTTAGAAATTAAAATGTCTTCGTGGGTCAAAGCAGTCACAGACCAACCCCATGCACCTGATCCTGAAAAGAGGTAAAAATAATATTTGGATTGCATTTACAGTTCTTACGTTGTTGTTTTTACCAGTTATAAAAAGATTAAAATTTTTGTAATCTCATTGTTTTGCAAATACTTGCACTTTAGAGAGTTAGCAAAATGCTCTTGACTTTTTAAAATCCAATGTAATTATTGTTTTGTTTTTAAAAACATAATGCAGGATATGCTGTTTGATAGTTTTAATCTAAATGCCTTGAAGTTTGCATTACTTTAATCCTTTTGACGTCATTGGGAATTCTGTACTTAGAATGTAATGCAGATAGAAACGTTTTTGGAATTAAACTGTTGAAAGTTCATCACATCCTGCGTTTACTTTGCTCTTCTTAGTTTCTTTGTTAGTAGCCAGTGGCTCTAAGGCTGGATCTACACTGCCATATAATCAAGTTTCTGAATCTAGATTATCTGCTTTGATCCGGATTATAATAGTCTACACTACCATATAATTCAGTTCAACGCAGATAATATGGATTCAGAAACTGGATTATACGCCAGTGTAGATGGTACCTGAGTAATATTGGTATCCTGTGAATAAGCGGCATCCAAACTGTTCACTACTTTTTGGTTAATCCATGTAGACAAGTAAGAAAAATTGACTTATTGTGGAAACAAGGATTGGTGAGGAAGCTTCAGTGGAAACTCCTTTCCACCATGATAACTTTTTCAGGACTGAATTTCCCTTCCAAGGGATAGATTTATCTCATTTCCTGTAGTCTCGCCCCCTTTTTAAACTGTGAATCATTTGTAAGTTGGTGGTTTGTAATTCGGCGACTGTCTGTACTTGAGAAGTTGTAGAGGTTACTCAATAAAATTGTAATATCAACATCATATTGGATTGCTTGCAGCTGTACCGCTCCCTAATTTGAGTGGGATGTGCAAGGCAAGCGGTGTTGTAAAATAAGAGCCCCTTTCCACACAGAAATGTTTGGGTCAGACAAAGAGATTTTTACTAAGGAGTGTTGGCTTTACTGTTGGAGTGTTGGCTTTACTGAAGAATATTAGTGACTTTCCTTTTGTTTTAAGAGTTAAAATAGGCTTTTCACTATTATTTTTATTTATTTATGGCATTTATATGCCGCCCTTCTCACCCCGAAGGGGACTCAGAGTGGCTTACAAGATATATTTTCATACAATATATTATATTATTAGCATAGTACAATATCAGTATTATATATTACTATTTTGCACATTACCATTATATTGTAATATTATTAGTAATATTACATGTAAAGTAAATATATAATTATAATTATAATATTGTATTATTACTAGTATTAAGATCTACCCCAGCAAGCAAGAGTCCAAAAGTGGCAGGCCCAAACCCAGAACCTCAATCAATGGCTGTTACCAAATGAGAAACTCCCCCCTGGGCACACAGAAAACTGGCGACTTGGAAGGCGCTGAACAGACATGATAAATAAATAAATACTAGTATTATGTTGTATTACATTATAATATTATAAATATTATATGTATATACAATATACTATATTATATTGTTAGTAAAGACTAGTTGCTAGCCGGTGGATTTTTTATCTTGGTACATTAAGATAAAGGTAAAGGCTTCCCTTGACATTAAGTCTAGTTGTATCCAACTCTGGGGGTGGTGCTTATCTCTATTTCTAAATCAAAGGGCTAACGTTGTCCGTAGACACCTCCTAGGTCATGTGGTCAGCGTGACAGCATGGAGTTACCTTCCCTATTGATCTAATCACATTTGCATGTTTTCGAACTGCTAGTTTGGCAGAAGCTAGGCCTAACAGTGGGAGCTCACCCTGCTCCCTGAATTTGAACTGTGACCTTTTGGTCAGTAAGTTCAGCAGCTCAGCAGTTTAACCTGCTGCAAAACCAGAAGATACATTCTCACAAATAGTCCTTGTTTGGAAGAGTATATCTTACAAGAGCCTTGTGCTACTTTTTTGGAAGATAGCTGTCATTATTGTTACTTTTTTTGGTGACTTTGGATGATCTTCGCATTTTGTTTTCTAGTTGCTTTAACACTCCAACTAGTTCATATAAAATGAGACATATATATACCTAAGAATGACTTTAAGTATGTATGATATATATTGTTTTAAGTTGACATTTAATACGATATTTCGTATAATGGGAGTGCTGGACGTCCAAAGGAACACAGATCAGGGCTAGTATTTGTGCAGTGCTCAAAATCTTATCAGATTGCAAATTCTGGTGACTTTTAAAAGCATAACCAAGGGTAAGAAATGCTGGGAGTTGCAATGCAGCAACATCTGCAGAATTCCCATCCCTGGCCTAGACCTTCTTGGGCCCTGAAGGGCCTTATCCTTGTTTGTATAGTGGCCTTTACTTCATAACTCTGAAGGGATCAACATTTGCTTCTCATTCTCACTTACCTAGCAGAATAGATTTTTTTCTGTCTGTACTTAGAAAATAGTTAACTGCAAATGAAGCAGGACCAAACAGCTGTCATCCTTATGTTGCTTCTGGTGCTTGACAGATCTTTTCTTACTGTGTTTTATTGAGCTTCTCTACCTGCACCTGTTTAGGCTTTAAACCTGGCAAATAAGCAAAAGTGTGCACACTAACTCACCTACTTAGCTTACTTGAGCACATATCTTAATACATTATAATTTGGTTTGAGGCAACAGAATGTTGACACTGGTGTACACTAGCACTTTTGCAATTTTCCTTATTGTCATTTCTACACTCTATTGCTGTCTTTCAGTATCTAATATTCATGCATTCCATTTATATTTCCCCTTTCTCCCCAGCAGAGTTCCCAATATAAATTGTGATATATAGAATCTATATAAATAAAAATGTAATGTTCGTTTGTGCGATTAAAATAACTAAAAAACCACTGAGGGAATTGACACCAAATTTGGACACAATACACCTATCAGGTCAACAAGTGACCCTCACTCATAAAAACACTGAAAAACAGCGGAAGAGACTTAAAAAGCCAAAAAACTAAAAATTACAACGCATGAACAAAACCACATATATACACAAACACACATACACATACACATACACACACACAAAATACAAATACACAGATTGGGCTACAGCAACGCGTGGCAGGGGACAGCTAGTCATAGAATAGAATCATAGAGTTGGAAGAGACCGCATGGGCCATCCAGTCCAACCCCCTGCCAAGAAGCAGGAATATTGCATTCAAAGCACCCCTGACAGATTGCCACCCAGCCTATGTTTAAAAGCTTCCAAAGAAGGAGCCTCCACCACAATCTGGGGCAGAGAGTTCCACTCCTGAACAGCTCTCACAGTCAGGAAGTTCTTCCTGATGTTCAGATGGAATCTCCTTTCTTGTAGTTTGAAGCCATTGTTCCGCATCTTATTGTCGAAGGCTTTCATGGCTGGAATCACTGAGTTGTTGTAGGTTTTTCGGGCTGTATGGCCATGTTCTAGAAGCAGTCTCTCCTGATTTTTCGCCTACATCTATGACAGGCATCCTCAGAGGTTGTGAGGTCACTTGCCATAGATGCAGGCGAAACATCCGGAGAGAATGCTTCTAGAACATGGCCATACAGCCCGAAAAACCAACAACAACCCAATTGTGATATAGATTAAAACAGTGTGCAGATAAATACTTTTTAAAATAATCAAGTGAGTAATTCTGTTAAAAACACCAATAGCTTGAAACATATTTAAAACACAATAAAGGTGATAAAAGTATAACATTCACATTAAAAGACCATTTTCCCACAGACAATATACAGCGAAAGAACTATCTAAATAAAAATGTTGTCACTCATCAGTGAAAATAGAGCAAGGAAGGGAAACAACCAAGGATGATTTGTCCCCTATCTGGTGATGCAATGGGTTAAACCCTTGTGCTGGCAGGACTGCTGACTGACAGGTCAGTGATTCAAATCTGGGGAGAGCAGGTTGAGTTCCCTCTGTCAGCTTCAGCTCTCCATGTGGGGACGTGAGAGAAGCCTCCCACAATGATGGTAAAACACCAAACATCCAGGCATCCCTTGGGCAACGTTCTTGTAGACGGCCACTTTTCTTACACCAGACGCAACTTGGAGTTTCTCAAGTTGCTCCCGACATGGAAAAAAATCCTTACAAAACATGCCTATGGTGATGGTGGGAAAAGAGAAAGCCCTCCTCCAACAAACTGGAGATGTGGGGTCACATAGTGTGGTATAATCTTTCATATGGTGTGAACCCAACCACACATAGTTTTATATGTCATAATACACAGTCTGAATTCTGCCCAGTCATGGACTGTAGCCTCAATAGACTTATGTTACTCCTGTAACCAGCCCTGGTCAGCAGGATCTTGGACCCACCGAAGTTTCCAAATACTGGTAGTTTCCAAAAGCAGACCCTCATCAAGTGTGTAAGTGTAATCCAGAGAGGATTTGAACAAGACATGTCACCATAACCAAATTGGACATTTCCAGTAATTGGTGCAACTGGCGCACTAGTTTTAGTTTGTAAACATACTCTTGGCCACTGCTGAAACCTGGATAACTTGATCAGATCTGAGTCCAGGAGCAATACCAAGCTACGAACCTCAGGCAGAGTCTCCCTCCTTCAGTACAGGCTTGAACCCCTATTTGCAGGTTTGACCTTTGACTGATTAGGACACCTGTGTTATCTTCATTCAGTTTGTTCTGTTTTACCCAGTCCCTTCCGAAGAGCAGGAACTGATTTAGCGTGAAATATCTTTCTTGGTATGTGGTGGAAAAGAAAGATCTATTTGAGCATATTGGTGACAAGTCCCAAACAATCTCTTTCAACAGTTGATGTGTGTGTTAAATAGCAAACAATAGAGTCTATATTATTTTAAGAGTTCTTAATTTAAGATGTTGAAAGTGTAGAATCTTGTTATACGCATTCCTCCCCTTTCTTCAGTCTTTTGTAGCTGTAGTTCGTAACATTGATTTATTGACTGCTACTTGCAGTGTATCTTCAACAGAAATTAACCTGCACTCCTTCCCCTTCTTTCATGTTTTGGTCCAGGCACCGACAGGGAAAGATCCCACGACTTCTGGAGTAAGTAACCTACAGTAAATAGATTTTAAGTTGTCAAATTTGATTTCTTCTGAAAAATGTGCATTGGTAATATGCTTTCAGACTGTCTTAAGCACAAGGGTGCCATTTGAACATTTTCTTGATAAAAAAAATTGCTAGGGGCATATTTTCAGGAAAATTATATCTGCATACAATTTGACTGTTCTTTGTCCATATGCTTCCCCCCCCCCCCCCTCCAAAGTGACCCTTTTGCACTTAACATGAGAAACCTTTCACTGAATCCTTGCAAGGTAGTCTGTGTTTCAGAGTCTATGGCTGGAGACTGTGCCAAATAGGAGGTGTTTGGAAGCTAATGTGAACCCTGTTAATGTTAACATTTCCTTGTTCTCCATCTGTTTTAAGGGAAAAGAAGATAATTAGCCCCTTTCCTGTAATTTTTAATTTTAATAAACTGGAGATGATTTCTCCAGTTCTTATCTCTATAGTTTGTCATCTGAAATCAGGCAGCTCCTTGTCCTATCACAGCTTTGCATTAATGTTGCACATTATTAGAGTGTATCAATCCAGATTTGGCAATTTTGAATTGTGGTATAGATACATAATATCAATTGAAAGACATTGTATCTGGATAATTCACTACAGTTTTTCTGTATGGTTAAAACACTGCAGGAACACCAAGCACAAAGTAGCTGCACGTAATAACATCCTGCGAAAACTTACTGGCAGATCATGGGGTGCAGACCCAAAAGAACATCAGCCCTGGCCTGGCCATGTCATACTCAACTGTCAAGTATGCCGGCCCTGTTTGGCACAAGTCTGCCCACATGAAGCAAGTGAACATAGCATTGAACGAAACATGCAGAATAATCACAGGATGTCTTAAACCTACACCTGTTGATAAACTCTATAATCTAGCTAGCATCCTCCCCCCCCCTCCCGATGTGCAACGGGAAGTTGCCACTAACTATGAGAGAAATAAGGTTGAGTACTGTGAAAGCCATTCACTGCATGATTGCCAGCCCCCTCCCAGTAGACTCAAATCAAGGAAAAGCTTCATGAGCGCCACCACTCCTCTTAACATTTCCCCAGCAATAGCAAGAGCATCCCTCTGGCAGCTAAACCAGGAAATCCTAATTGGATGTCCCCCCCCATGAGGGTCTGCCTCCAGGGGCAAACTGAGAATGCGCAACTTGGAAGTCCATGAACAGACTCAGAAGTGGAGTGAGCAGATCAAAAGACAACCTGGCAAAATTGCACTACCTAAAAGAATCCTCCACTTTGTGTGACTGTGGAGCAGAACAGACAACTCTGCACCTGTGTGCTTGTCCACAATGTCCTGCCTCATCTACAGAGGAAGAGTTGTTGGAGGCTACAGACAATGCGGTTGCCCATTTTTGATCAAAAGATATTTAGCCACTTGTGCTTCTTCTATTTTTATCAGTTTTATACTAATGTATGCAGTGCTTTTGATATGAAATAAATAAAACTGATGGTCATGTAGCAATTTGTACAGTAAGACTCAAGTGATTTCTTTGCATTAAAACGTATATGCTTCTAACGGATGAGGACTGAATATGATGACATAGTTTTAAAATTTTTATTGTTCACTGGTTTGATATTTTTAGATATAGTGTAATGTGATGTTTTACTTTTATTGATGCATATATTTTATATATGGCATTGAACCGTGCCCCGCCCTGAGTCGCCTTTGGGCTAATATGGGCGGGATAAAAATTATATAAATAAATAAATAATAAATAAATAATATTCTCCATTGGTGTCTTAATGACAAAGAGAAATGGTTTCCCATTCTTCTTTTTTGCATTACTTGAGCCAGAATTCAGAATTCCTTGGGTGTGGTATTTGTCATGCAGTTAAAAGACTTTTGAAAATTCTTACATTTTATTTCTTCTTCTAGCAAAAACCCTTTTGAAATCATTAAGAAGAGCTCTTACTCTCCCCCTCATAATTATTTGAAGGACTATGAAGATACTAACAGGTTAGAAATGTGATTACAGTGGTTCTAATGTATACTTTCAAGGCTTAGGATAAGAAATAATGAACAGGATGTTCTTAAGAGATTTGTTATTCACACTATAAATTAACATCAGAATTGTTTTAGGCTTTGTATTCCCAAACCAGGCAATATGACTTTGGACAAAGCTATTGATCCTGTGTGTGAGACCCACTACTACATAGATGAGACATTTTTTTCTGTTAATATACATTTGAATTCACTCTAAATTTGAAACATACATGCCATTAAATGAAAGCCGCACGTTCACTTTCTAACATTTCCAATTTCAAAAAGGTGAAATGAAAGATCTGTTGGGGGGGGGGGGGGCGCTTATTAACGAAAGACCTATGCCATAAATATACAGCAGAGTAACTTATTAGCAGCAGTGTGACCCAGCACCAATATCCCAAAGTCATAAAAAGTACAAAACACACAGACCAATGTTATCTCTTCCTTAGGAGGCTTTTCTTTATAGCAAAAGTAACATGGTTGCACTATTTACAAGACCAAGGTTTCCATAACACAAATAAAGTTCTTTATAATTCCTTCTTTGCTTCCACACTGGGCTTCTTTCTCTTGTAGATAAAAAGCTTTGCTCTCACAGAGCCTCTTCTGACACTAAACTTACACAGGAGCTTCACACAGTAGCTTTTTACACACAGCAGCCTTCACACTGGAGCTTTACACATGAGGCTTTCAGCCTGGGGCTTCGCTCACCGAAGCCTACTCATATAGTGCCTTCTAACTCTGAGGCCTAGTAACACAGAGGTATTGCCTCTTCATACTGAGGGCAACTAACACTGAGATGTACTAAGCTACAGGCACACCTACTTATATTGAACTGCAGCTTTTGCTGAGACATTGCTTCCACATAACCCTTTCAGTGCTTGACTCACATTTTTGTAATAAAACATACCTGGATAATCTTCTGTACTGTAAAGTAGTTTTTTGGCTTCCTAAATAGTAATTAGTTTCTATGATATTTGTAATGACCCTCTGTAATTTGAGTCTTGGTCTAGGACCAAGAGAAATCCGAATTTGAAATTGCACTCAGGCATAGAAACCTCACTAGGAAAGTCATTGGGAAGTCACACTTCCTCGGCTTCTTCTGAAATACTATGTCAGAGAAAAAAGTCTATGACAAGGTCCCCATAAGTCAGAGTCGACTTGAAGATACATTACACCAATATTTCTAATGGAATATTCAGCTTAAACTCTACTAAAGAGAGTGTACAAGGTCAATGAAAGCAAGAGCCAAAAGCTAAAGGATCTTAAACTGAGGAAACACAGAAGAAACAGTAGCATACTCTTGAGTTTTTAAATAATACTGTATAAATAACATTTGCCTTATTTTCATGCATTTGTATAATCAGCTGAGCTTCAAATTTAGAACCAAATCTGTTTCAACAATATGGTCAACACTTTAAGATGTCCTTGGCCTTAGCTTTACCTGAGTTGACTAGCGAATGTAGTCCATTGAAATTAATAATGATCACGCCCCTCCCAATAATATTATATGTGATGGCAAGACATTTGTTTCTACTCTGATTATCTTGTGTGTGTGACTTTCTTAGCTTTGAAGAACTCTTTGAGCAGCAGCATTCATCAGCAGAGAATGAAGATAACTATGAAAGATACCACTATTCTCAGAAAGGTAATGTGGCTCCTATATTATTACCTTGTGATCATGCAAAGGCCAAAAATGCCTTGCCTTCTGCTTTTCAGTTGTTTGAGTGGCTCTTCCAAATTCCGATTCTTGTTATTGGGCTTATGTTGCTGTTTAAGGTGACATACCCTGAATATACTTCCGAATCATGACAAATGATGTGTTTTCTTTCTTACTCTGAACTTTTAAAAGTGGTAGCACTTTTTCTTTACCTGCATTTTTTAAAATTTTATTTATAAATGTATCAAAAAAAATGTATAAGCATACATTCTTCCCTCTTTTTACAAAATCTCAGAAGAGTATGTCATATTATATACAATCTAACATTAAAAAAATCAAAAACATATTAAAGCATATTTTTTATCATTTTTTTAAACTTTCCATTACAACTTATACTACGTATACCTCTACCACATACCTTTTATCTACTTATACATGTTTTATTTCTTTATAATTAGTATTATACCATTTTCCTCTCTTCCCCTTAGTTTGTGCCCCCTTCACGAGAACCAACCAACTCGTTATTTCACAACTCCAAAATGTCATTGTTTCTGTTGCTGGCTTATACCCCTTTCCCTCATTAAAAATATACTCAATAAATTTCCCCCATATTTTCCAAAAATCTCTTTCCATATTCCCCTTTTAATTTTAATATTGCAAGTTAGCTTATCATTAATAGCTATATTCCAAATTTCCCTACACCATTCTTCTAATTTAATTTCTTTTTTTTCTTTCCAGTTTTTTGCTATTAGCAATTTAGCTACTGTTATTAAGTTAGAAACCAATTCTTTCTCCTCTTGTGAGGGAATTGTGTTATCATGAAAAGTAATAATGCTAATTTTGGTGTAATCAAAATTATTTTATTATTTTATTATTGCTCTTATTTCTTTGAATATGCTTTCCCAAAATTTTTGTATAATTTTACATGACCACCACATTTGAAGGTACGTTCCTATTTCCTGACAGCCTCTCCAACACTGATTTCAGTATTTTTTTATCAATCTGATTTAATCTAATGGAAGTTAGTGTTGCATCCCAGTTCAAGAAACGAGACCATAAGATTAAATCCACCACACTGGACTGTAGGAAAAGCAATCCTTGTTTATTGATGAAAAATTGGTTACAAAAGAAAGGTAAATGCAAAGTCAAAAAGCCACAGAAAAACACAGCAGTCAGTAGAATCTCTGAACTTGAGCAAAATTTCAAAAGCCACAATACAAGAACCAGGAATCTGTTAGCCTTTTACTAACCATGAACTTGATAACTAAGCCTCTGGGATTACCGGCCATGAAACACAGGAATTCTGCCAAGGCACAGCCACAGTCCCAAACGTTGCTTGATCTAAAGAGGCACCCGGCAGGAGGCCTCTTAAACCAAAGAAGCTATTCTTTGAAACGCCCCTTGACTTTGACGTCTGGGCCTGTTTCTCCTGTAATCGATGTGACCTTCGTAGAAATTGGGAAACATTTCTGTCTCTAACTATCTGTTCTCTTCGGTCCTCATTAAAAACCCCAGGTGGAGAGATATCACGGCTAGTGATATCACGGCTAACTTCCAAAACATTTTCCTCCAGCTGTTGAGTTTCGTTTTCATCCGCTGACCTCTGCATCAACAACAGATTCCACACTGTCAGGGTCAGGGAGAGCTTGCTCAGTTGGAAAAACTGTCAGAGAATCCGGTTCACACAGATCAGGATCAGGCTGAACCCCAACAGTTAGATACCACCTCCATATCGTTTTATAGTAATTTTCCTTAATTCTTATAGACTTATTTTTAGTATTCTCATACTCCATGTATTTGCCCATTACTGATTATTCAATCTTTTCCCCAAGTCTACTTCCTTCAGATAATCTTGTTCCTGTTCATTCATTAATAATAATTTATAGATATAACTTACTGTACCTTTTAATGTTATGTTCTTTTCTGTAGTTTCCCTTTGAGTTATCTTTTCTATTTTTGTATATTTCCTAAACCCATTATAATTTTTCCTTATATCACTTGACCATTTACCCAATTGTAGATACTTGTACCAATCTAAGTCTTTTAAGTCCTCTTTTATCCTTTCCATATTTACCATCTTCAGGTCCCAGTCTTTTACTTTCATTAAACCTCTTCCATTAAATTCTGCTTCAAGTTCTTTTTTTTTTCAAATTTGCTAGAAAATCTTCTGTCATTAGATCTGGCATGATAAAGAAATACCTGGCATTAGGGGTTTTTTTTTAATATCTCCCCCAAATCTCCACTTTTTCAGTGTGTTTTTTTTATTATTTCAGATGATGACTATACTAAGGATGCTCGTCGTGAGAAGCTGTACCAGCAGTTCTACCAGAAGGTAGAGAAGGAATATGACAAGGGGCGACCTTCCGACTGTGTCATTGTTTCCTTCAGCAAAGATCAAGCGTAGGTCCTTCTTTTTAACTTTTCAGACCCTAATGAGATTTAGATTAAAATCTTAATGTTTGGTTTTGTCTTCATCCATGCAGGTAAACAATTTGATTTCTTTATCAAAGGTTTCCCTGAAGTGACACAAATCTGTGACACAAATAATACATGTTTCCTGCCCACATTGCTGTCTTTACATATGGATCTGCCCCTTTCACACAAGAAGAATGAGAATTGAGGAAAAAATGCTGAACTTGCTCCCTGGTTTATTTTCTAGCCAGGTTCCTTTTTGTTAGAGACCCTGTTTGGATAAAATAGAGAGGGATAGTAGTACGTTGGGTGAGGATTTGGTATCTACATACCTTCTGCATTGCATTCTTTTGAATTGTAGTCTCACCCATTATTCCAGGCATGTATGGGACTACCTTTACAAATGTGGATCTTTCATTATTCCAGGATAGTCTGGATCTTAATAGGAATTGTCTCATGTACTTCTTGCAGATCTGGAAGTATTAAATCTAAATGTCATGATCCTATTTCACATAACAAGAAGGCTCGCTCAAATTGGGCATTGCAAGGCTCTAATCACAGTAGCACCAACTTTTGTTATCAACAAGGCACCTCTTTGAATCTACTGTATTTACCCGAATCTAATGTTTACCTTTTTTGACTAAATTATCTTTCCAAAATTATACACACACACACACACACAGAGAATATAAATACAGAAAATAAACATAATATACCAAGAAAATTACATTAATTATTAGGTTAAATGTTTTTGAATATTTACCACATTTCAAAGAAAAACAGTAAACTAGCTCTGTAAGTGGAAAAGTAGGGTCAACAAAAACAATATGGTATCCGCAGTAACAACAATAACTTCATTTGTATGCCGCCCTATCTCCCCATGGAGGCTCAGGCTGGCTTCCAACATAGTAACAGGCAAACATTCAATGCCTATATAAACAATGCAGAGTTAGATATAGATCCATAATTGTATATACTAATTTCACATATGCATTTCCCCCTGAAATGTTTGCAAATCCCCTCTCTCTATGTGCATTTCCCTCCTGTAATATTTTCAAGCATTATATATCTATGTTTATATCTATCTAGACATCTCTCTCTCTATGTGTGTGTGTGTATACATTTCCCTTGCAATATTTGAAAGCCCTATATATATTCATATCTAACTAAACATGTCTATATATATTTGTGTGTGCATTTCCCCCTGTAATATTTGCAAGCCCTATATATCTATATTCATATATAACTGTCTAGACATCTCTCTCTCTCTCTATAGATAATTATATCTATATAGGATTTACAAAGAGTTGCAAACATGTGAGGGGAAAATTCATATATAAAATTAATCATATATATACACATATACATACACAGATAGATATATATAGAGATAGAGATAGATAGAGATAAATATATAGGTACCACTATATATTTATCTATATCTATATAGGTTTTGCAGAGACTTGCAAAAATGTGAGGGGAAAAATTATATATAAAAATAATGTATACATATAGATATAGATATACAGATACATGGAAATCTCTAGATATCTATATGTATATAGGGTTGGCAAAGACCTGCAAGCATATGAGGGGAAATTCATGTATAAAATCAATGTATATTGACAGATATATAAAAATAGGTACATAGGGATCGCAAAGGTTTGCAGGGGGAAATGCCTATATAGGAGAGATTAACAAATATTTCAGGGGGAAATTATTTTATAAGATTAATGGATATTCCTGACTTGCGAGGGCTTCTCTCCCTCTCCTTTCCCTTTTTAAAACATTCCAGCCTGGAAGGAGAAGCAGAGCAGAAGCAGAAAAGAAAGCACACTTTCTGTTTAGGGAGGGGAAGATGAGAGAGAAATCTATATAAATAAAAATATAATGTTCGTTTGTGGGATTAACAGAACTCAAAAACCACTGGATGAATTGACACCAAATTTGGATGCAATATACCTAACAACCCAATGAGTGACCATCACCCCAAAAAACAGCAAAAAACGACCGGAAATGGACTTAAAACCCCCCAAAATAGAAAATAAATTACTATGCGTGCGCAGAAAGACTGCCCTGGCCTCGCCCCCTCCAGCGCGAGGGAAAAGCACGTGGCCACACACACCCAACTGCCATAACGACCACAAGGGAGGCAAAAAGGAACGAGGCAGAGGACCTCCACTTCTTCCTCTTCCTCCCTGGCGCCAGAGAGAGAGAGACAGAGAGAGAGGGGCAAGGAATCCAGACAGGGAGGCAAGCAGTGCCCGGACTTGGCTGGCTCTCTGCAGTTGTCGTTGTGGAGAAGGGGTGGCCCAGCCATGCCTCTTGGGAGGCGAAGGGGGCAAGTCCACAGCAGCGACTGCGGAGAGGAACCCCAGCTGCGGATGCAGCCATAGCCACAGAAGCCCGTATGAATAAACTTTGGGATTGGCATCCCTTCTCCTTCTGTTTCCCCTCTGCCTTGGCCTGACTTCCTCCCCTACTTTCTCCTAATATTTTGACCTTGTATTTCCCCCCCCCCCACCACCCCGAAAAAAGAGAGAGAAACCACTCATTTCTCTGACAGGGATGCAAAGGAGAAACAAAAAACCCTCCAGAACCAAGGCCAAAAAGACGCTCCCAACACATTTGCATCCTCCAAAGCGAAGTGGGAAAGGGACCCAGGGTTACCAAGCCCACCCGAAGTCCAGGCCTGCCTTGCTCCCTCCCTCTTCCCCTCCTTTTCTTCCCTCTTTTTGGGAAGATGCCCACAAGGTCTGCTTTGAAAACTCAGGAACCCATTCCCACTCCTGCTGTTCCCGTGAATACCAGTTCTGAGACACCCACTTAATCTGCCATCTGCTCTGGGTTTTAGTCAAAACTTTAAAGGAGCCATTCCAGAGTGAACTCAGCCTTGCTCATTCTTCCCCTTGAAGAAAGAAAGAATAGAACATGGGTCTGGACTAAACTCCAGGAAAGATTCCCCCCCCCCCCCCACTGTCTCTCCTTCCTGCCTGGAGACCCCATTGGCCCACCAAGGAGTTTACAGTGTATTCTTTGCCGATACACACACACATATACATACACATGTATATACACACATAAATACATAAAGCACACACACATATATACACATGCATATACACATACACACATATATACATATACTCACATATACACATGCACACAGAAATACACACACACACATATATACACACACATACACAATATACATATACAGATATTAACACACAAATACACACACATATATAGACACATATACACACATATATACACAAATACATACACACAAAATACATAGACACAGACTGGGCCACAGCAATGTGTGGCAGGGGACAACTAGTCTCTATAAATAAAAATGTAATGTTGGTTTGTGGGATTAACATAACTCAAAAACCACTGGGCGAATTGACACCAAATTCAGATACAATACACCTATCAGGCCAACGAGTGACCATCACTCATAAAACACTGAAAAACACAGCGGAAGAAACTTAAAAAGTCAAAAATACAACGCATGCGCAAAATCACACACACACACACACACATATATATATGCACACACACACGCGCGCTCTTAGCTGATGGTTTGTTGACCGAACTACTGACTGACTGATATACTCAAACACACATATATACACATATATACAAATATATATACACACATATATACATATATGCACACAAAACACATATGCACAGACTGGGCCACAGAAACTCATGGCAGGGGGTGGCTAGTATAACATATATTGCAAGCAGTGGCTTCCAGACTCTGCGGCCGACTTGACCCCATTATAAACCAAGGGAGACTTTTTTCAGCCCATGAAGAGATCTGAAAAACTCATCTTCGAGTATACACGATAATCAAAAGAAGTTAACAAGCCGTTTATTATTTGTGCAATATGGTGAGTCTACCTAAAGGTAATTTTAAGCATGACTTCTACCTTCCTATTTTTCCTTTGTTATTTCAGCTGTAAAATGCTGTATTGGATATTTTTAGTAAAATATTTCTCCAATCTCTTCTGATTTCCCATCCATTAGTAGGTAATGATGTCAGATGCATTTCTTCCCTTCATTCATTTGCTCTCAACACAACCAAACAATTCTTGGAAGTCCATTTACAGCTGAAAACACTGTAAGTCTTGATCCTTCGGTTTCTCACAAAACGTCTTGCAGCCTTCAGAGATAAGGCCATCTTCCTTTCCTGTTTTATTCCAAAAGAGTCACCCCAGCACGATTCCCACTAAAATCCTTGTTCACATCTAATAAAATGTTAGTCTCAACTGTTTGTAGGTAAGTTTTGAGACATGTTTTAAAAACATCCTTCCATTCTATCCTTAGTGTCGGCATGCATTACATATTGCATTTCATGGACACAGATTTCTCATGTGCGGAATAAATGTGTTATTTGCTGCAGAAATCCTTTTTTAAAAAATCACTGAAGGTCCAGATGAGTCGAACAACATGTCTATAAAACAGGGAATCCGTAGTAAATCACATTTCATCACGGTCTCAATGTAAATAGCATCTAACTAGATAAAATTTGGTGGTCTTGCCTGTGTAACTTTACCTTTTGTCATGCAAAACCTCTGAAATTCGGTTCCCGAAAGGAATGTAATTCTATACTGGCATGATTTCAGTAAACATTATAAAATCTACATCCTTCAACAAAAAGCAAAGTAATACTGGATTACTCCATGTTATCCTGTTGACCACTCTTGCTAAAGAAATCTCCAAAACATGCTTCCTCACATCCTTGCTTGTTTGCACGCATGCAAGAATCAGTATTGAAATGTTCTATCTGTGAATGCCAAGCACTTTCTCAGTATTACATACATTAGACAGCCTTGCAGGTGTTGTTGAAATGGGAGCTGTTCAAGAATTTTGTTTTTATTCCATTAGGTACTAGAATTGGGCCCGAATCACTGTTAACTAAAAGATTTGTAGTTTTCATGTAATTTTCGGAAACGGAGAGAGACAAAAGACCAGTGAAACAAATTCAGAGAGGCAATATTTACGTAAAGAGTTAAGTCCACAAAATACCTGAGATAGTGGGATCTGTGATGTTTTTTCCCTCCCCAGCAGAAGATGCCTTCTCCATTTTTTCTTGGAAAGTTTCCTCCTCCTCCAGAGAGGGCCTTTAGAACTTACTTTCCCAGTTGCGCTAGGATAGGGTGACCATTAAAAGTTCCTCTCAGAGCATGATGGGAGTCGAAGTTTTTCTCTGTGTGTGTCTCTCAATCAGTAAAAAACATGGTACTGTCCATGCTGTGATTGGCTGAGAATGGACACAACTGCCGGCTACAATTCCAAGTGCCCTCTCTTGCCGTTTATCTGACTTTAAAAAAATGTTATGTTTAAAACTTAAAATAATTCTAAAAAGTCAGATTGGTGAATTGTTTTGAAATTTGGCAGGCCTGCAGTTGTAAATGGGGCCCCCAACTGAGATAGGTTTCATACAGGGAGGCTGTAAAATGACTGAGGATTGAGCCTTTAAAGCAAGGGTCCTCAAACTTTTTAAACAGAGGACCAGGTCAAAGTCCCTCAGACTGTTGGAGGGCCGGATTATAATTTGAAAAAAGTATGAATGAATTCCTATGCACACGGCACATATTTTAGTTGTAGTGCAAAAGACATTTAAAAACAATACAATAATTAAAATGAAGAATAATGTAAACAAATATAAACTTATTAGTATTTCAATTGGAAGTGTGGGCCTGCTTTTGGCTGATGAGATAGGGTTGTTGTTGTTGTTGTGGTGGTGGTGGTGTGCTTTCAAGTCGTTTTATACTTAGGTTGACCCAGAGCGAGGGCCGGGTAAATAACCTTGGAGGGCCGTATCCGGCTCCCGGGCCTTAGTTTGAGGACCCCTGCTTTAAAGTTTCCCATTGTATCCAATTGGCCGAATTCTGCCGAATGAAGCAGAAAACACCCCTCCCCTTTCAGGTAACTTTCTGGTACAGGAAACGAGGAATCCGATGGTAACGGACCCGAAAACGGTATGTCTTTTGACCCTCATGCACATGAATCTTAACTACTGTACATAAAAGGAGCCCCCGGTGGCGCAGTGGGTTAAACCCCTGTGCCGGCAGGTCGCAGGTTCGAATCCAGGGAGAGGCAGATGAGCTCCGTCTATCAGCTCCAGCTCCTCATACCCCGGGGCATGAGAGAAGCCTCCCACAAGGATGATTAAAAAAAAACCATCTAAAATCATCCGGGCGTCCCCTGGGCAACGTCCTTGCAGATGGCCAATTCTCTCACACCAGAAGCGACTTGCAGTTTCTCAAGTTGCTCCTGACACGACAAAAAATAAAACTGTACATAAAATGGAACTTAAGCTAAATAATTGTAAGACTAAACCTATCTAGTCCAGCCCAGAATTCCATAGAGCTTTCCTGATGTATATTCTTGATATACGTCCTTCGCATAAGCAAAGGTTTCACCATTCTGCTTGGTATTGTGAATAAATCAATATTCCCTATATGAAAGACACCTCCTCTTCATTGAAAAAGACAAGTCTACATGGAAAAATACTCCATAACCAACTATCAAAAAGACTGGTTTGCAGAGTTATTTTGAAAAGTATACTATACTTCCTGACATTTTTATCGTTCATTAATAGCTTTTAACCCAACTTGGGAATACATATCTCCATTTGGGACAGTCCTCATTCATTCATAACAAGGCTCATACCCCCTTCATTCTTGCCATATCAAGGATGAGTTCCAAAGACACTATCCACATAAAACCATATACTCATAGAGTTGGAAGAGACCTCATGGGCCATCCAGTTCAACCCCCTGCCAAGAAGCAGGAAAATCGCATTCAAATCACTCCTGATAGATGGCCATCCAGCCTCGGTTTAAAAGCCTCCAAAGAAGGCACCTGCACCACACACTGGAGCAGAGAGTTCCACTGCTGAACAGCTCTCACAAGTTATTCCTAATGTTCGGGTGGAATCTTCTTTCCTGTAACTAGCTTGGACTCCTTAATCTTCACAGAATGGCAGGATCGGACCACTGGCACTAACTTTTTTATTTTTTGGAATTACGTGTGAAATAACTTGCTTCTTCTTTTTCCTTCAAGGGAATACTCAACATCCATAGGCCATCAGTTGCAGGATCATGGCCTTGTGGTGGAAATGATATACCTTACATCTGAATCAGGTCTTGCCCGGGCCCTCCAAGACGTCAAAAATGACGGTTCCCTATTTTGCATTCTTGTTGAACCTGCCAATGTAACCCTTACCTCTTGCACCGTAATCATGCTTCACCAGTTTATCAAAAGTAAGTTGAGCTCCATTCTGAAATAGCCCCCATTCAGAATAATGCTTTCTAGAGCTTTTCTATAACATACACAACTTTAAAATACATCACATGTTAGAATATTTTTTAACGGAAACACTTCGAAACTGCTGAATATGCTCAAAAAATAAAACCTCTTGAATCGATTTTAGTTATAAATGGCACTTCATGTCAAACTGATTTTGACAGGTGCCATACCCCCTTGAAGCCCCACCTCCATCGGAAGTCCTGCCCCTCAACAGGAAGTCCTGTTTACAGTATGTATGTATTGTGATGTGACTTTACCCCTAAGGAGTTCAGTTCATAAATAAATAAAAAAGGGAAACATCTGCACCAAATAAAAAATCACACTGAGCTTTTTAAAAACATTTATTTTATTCCATTCTTGTGTTATGACTTTTTCCCCATCACATTGAGCGTTTAAAACCATTTCTTTTATTCCACTATTGTGTTGTGGCTTTACTCCCATACATACTTTTTACCCCATAAGGAGTCCATAAAATGTATTTTAAAGGGAACTAGCCTCACCCCGCCAAATAAAAAAAAATCACATTTTAAAACCAATTAATTTCTTCCCTTTTTAAAAACCTTACACACATGGTTTTTAAAAAAATCGGCAGTAGCAGCATGGCACATTCTCGGCATTTCAAGGAAAAACTTTTTCAAATACTTCCAGGCTGTGCTCTTATCATATGAATTAGGTTCTACCTCTTTTGAGTTTCATGCGTACATATTGCCCTGAGCATCACATGGTCACATTATGGGCCTGAAATCCTTCCTGTTGGCCCACAGAGGCTCCACGTGGCTCCTAAGAGCAAAGCACATGGTCCCAGTCAGCACATTCCCCAAGCACATGTTATTATTATTTATTATTTATTTCACGCACTTCTACCCCGTCCTTCTTAACCCCCGAGGGGAGACTCAGGGTGGCTTACAAAAGGCACAATTCGATGCCAACAAACAGATAATAAAATAAACATGTATCAACAGCAATTACAAAACAATTAAAAACAATCCAATTATACATCACAATTAATAAAAACCAATCTAATATTCTAACATGGGTGGGGTTTAGGCGGGCTTTTCAGTCCTTAGGCATCTCCAGGCCATGCATCTCTAAAGCATGACTAGGCATGCATGGGCATGCCCTACACATTGGGGTTAAGGTGGTACTTCCCGCAGTAGGATGGGTAGGTGGGGGTGGTTTCAGTCATGGAGGTCCTTCCGGGGTTGAAGTTCCTATTTAGGAGGTACTTCCAGGAAGGGGGAGGAACTTCCTGTTGAGGGGTGGGACTTCCGGTGGCATAGCACCTGTCAAAATGAGTTTGACATTACTTATTTATTTCATGCATTTCTACCCCACTCTTCTCGCCCGAGCAGCCTCACACAAGCATCATATGTTGCTATCAGTATATAAATAATCAAAAATTACATTTAAAACATTAAAAATAATTAAAAACACATTATACAATTCATTAAACAATAAATTAAACATGCCATGAGATGCCACCTATAACTACTGACGTCCTAATTTATGATTTGCAGCTTACAGTTGGAAATTGTAATACTGTTCTTCTTGTCCATAATGACCGCATAAAATTATTTCAGTTTTTAAATTAATTTATTTCAAATGAACTAATGTAACAAAAACACACACTTCACCCAATAGAACTGAACCTTTTTTGTGCGGAGTCCTGAACATATAACATTTCAGTTAAAAGCAGAAACTCGGTGATGTTAAATTGAAAGCTGGCTTTTAGCTTCCAAGTAGCAAATGAAACAAAACAAAACAACACACTGCCCTTTTGTGTCTAGTTTTGTCTTAAAAGTAACTTTTTAAAAAAGCAAGGTATCTCTCTTCTCCGTAGTACATCGTAATATGCCCATGGAGGATTCGTTGGATCTCATAACTAAGGAGTTTGAGAAAATCACTGCGGAGCGCAGCGAACAGGAACACGCCAAGATTTCTCACAAAGCGGCTGATTTGGTGGATGACTACCTAGAGCGGGAGCTTTATGACAGTTACCGTGTGCCTCTAGCCATTAGGCATCTCCTCTTTCTTTTAAGTGAGGGAAAACATTTATATGTGGAAGAATTGAACTCATTAAGTGACTACCTGAAGACCAGGAGAAATAAGCTTGAAGGTATTCATGATTTCCCCACTTGTTCCCTAAGCCCTGTTCCCTGTAAATGCCACTGTCTCAAAAATCACCCTGTAGCGCGTCCCATATATTTCTTAAAAAACGAGAAAATACAGAATGTGAAGGCTAATTTTGGCCCGCCCACCCTGAATCTCTCAAATCTCAGTTCTTATATTAATACAAACCTTCAAATTAGCGTAAAACAGTGTTTCTCAACCTTCCTAATGCCACAACCCCTTAATTCAGTTTCTCATATCACGGTGACCCCCAACCACAAAATTGTTTTCGTTGCTACTTCATGACTGTAATTTTGCTGCTATTATGAATCGTAATGCAGGACAAAATTTGCCACAAATACCCAATACGCCTAAATTTGAATACTGGTTGGGATTGGGAAATTGATTTTGTCATTTGGGAGTAGTTCCTGGGATTTATAGTTCACCTACAATCAAAGAGCATTCTGAACCCCACCAACAATAGAATTGAACCAAACTTGGCACACTGAACATCCACGACGAACAGAAAATGCTGGAAGGTTTTGGTGGGCACTGACCTTGAATTTTGGAGTTGTAGTTCACCTACATCCAGACAACACTGTGAACTCAAACAATTATAGATGTGGACCAAACTTGGCTTGAATACCCAGTGTGTGTTATATCAGACATAAGACAAAACATCAAATATTGAACAAAAGCAGCAATTTCCCAGTTCCTTGGGGGCAAATAGATTGATCATTGCTCAAGATATCTATTGAGCTGGTGGGGCAAACAGGGTAGTTTGCAACTGTAATAGCAAACTAAATACCCAATTTTCTACCTAAACATGGCATCTTAAATCAGTGCTTCTCAACCTTCCTACTGCTGCYTCCCCTTAACCCAGTTCCTCATGTTGTGGTGACCCCCCCCCCCCCACCATAAAATTATTTTCGTTGCTACTTCATAACTCTAATTTTGCTACTGTTATGAATTGCAAAGTAAATATCTGATGTGCAGGATATATTTTTATTCACTGGACCAAATTTGGCACAAATCCCAATTCGCCCAAATTTGAATATTGGTGGGGTGGGGTGGGGGGCTGATTTTGTCATTTGGGAGTTGTACTTGCTGGGATTTATTGTTCATCTACAATAAAAGCATTCTGAACACCACCAATGATGTAATTGAGCCAAATTTAGCACACAGACCTCCCATYACCAACAGAAAATACTGGAAGGGTTTGGTGGGCATTGAAATTGAGTTTTGGAGGTGTAGTTCACCTACGTCCAGAGGGTGCTGTGGACTCAAACAATGATMGATCCGGATTAAACTTTGCATGAATACTCAATATGCCCAAATGTGAACACTGGTGGAGTTTGGGYAAAATAGACATTGACATTTGGGAGTTGTAGTTGCTGGGATTTATAGCTCACCGACAATCAAAGAACTTTCTGAACTCCACCAATGATAGAATTGGGCCAAACTTCCCACACCCAGACCCCACAAGAGCAACAGAAAATACTGTGTTTTCATATGGTCTTTGGTGACACCTCTGACACCCCCTCGCGACCCCCCCTCCCAAGGAATCCCGACCCCCAGGCTGAGAAACTCTGGCTTAACATCTTACTTTGTAAACAAATTCCATGTACTTTTCACAAAATGGCAGGGTAATATTGGCGGCAACTCTTAACCTGGGTATATGTCATGATAATGACAGTTGAGACCCAAACGTTCCTATGTTCATTCTATGTCTGTGCACACATCCATCCTTTTACCCAGCAGTACCTTCTGTAAATCTTGAAATAATATCCTTATTGCTGTTTTTTAAATTAATGTCCTTTAGGCTCTGTTTGCATGAGGAAATTGCTATTAGCCTTCATTCTGCAGAATGGATTTTTCTGCTTATCAAGTTGCTTTTAGTGCGGAAAGGGCAGGCAGAAGGATAGAATTGGGGGTTTTGCCCTGTACGTTATAGTTTTGCACATTTTAGTACAGTAGGACATTTTCTGTTGTGTTGAAAAACACTGCATCTAAATAAGAATTGGAATAATGATAAGAACATTCTTCCCTCTTCCTTGTCTGTTTTCTTGTTACGATCACAATTCACGTGGCGAAACCCATTCCTTGTCTAACTAAAATGGGATTAAATACAGTCTTGACGCTCACACAAACAACTCCAGATCTCGTGCACTTTATTCTAAAAACTGAAAAAAATAATAACTTTAAATAGTTCAGACAACTTTTGTAAAAAAATCCCATCACTGTTAAAAAGTCCTAGATATTTGCTTGCACAAAAGAACGGTACAGTTAAAGAGCATGTGTGTAAGTCGCAAAACTAGCCTCTGCTGTGAATAATGTGTCTCTTCCCTAATCTGTGTTGCTTGCTGACTCTTGGTCCTTCAGGCTTTGTTGCAGAAGCAAAACCTTTGCCTGCCTCCGCTGAAAAAGCTGCGTACAAACCGAGCGCCAGGCCAAGTACAAGCTCTCTCCCCCAGACTCTCAGCAAACCTCCGCCGCTTCTTCCAATGCTGGTGCGCAAATCTGCATCCGGGTCTTCAGCTAAGACAGCTTTGTCGGGCAAAAGAGCATTGGGCGCTCTTCTTCCAACACCAGGTTGGTAGGACACTTAATTGTATAACTTTGCTTTGCAATTAAGTTAGTGAGGCTGTAGGGAAGAATTGGGAAGATCTTAGGTGAGACAGAAGACCCGCTATAGTAGTGTAAAATGAAATGTATGATTCACAAATACAGTGTCCCTATTCTTGGTGGTTTTGTAGCTGTTCAGATTCATTATTCGGATCAATTACTGAAAGATTTGATCTAGCCTTCTCCAACCACATACCTTCTAGATTGTAATAATTTCAACCCCAGAATCTTCAATGAGCACATTAGGAAAAGGACAGCAGGCTAGGGAAATTTATTTATTTATTTGCTATATTTCTATACCACCATTCTCTGCCCAGGGGAGCGACTCATGGTGGTTTACAGAATGGTACAATTTGATGCCCATAACAATATAAAAATAGCTAAAACATTTAAACATAGATAAAAATTCATTACATAATAACATAAATAAAAACATAATCTGAAATCTGATTTAGTCCTTTGGAAAAGGCCTGTGGTGGACAATAGGTTGCTATTTGCTGAGAGAGAATACTTTATCTGGAATGTCAACTTATTTGTTTTAAGATCTTATCAGAAGCAGATTTGGAGAAAATACGAGCAGATCTTCTCAGTGGTTGCAATGGGGAAATCTGTTCCTAGGGCATCCAGTATGGTATCTCCCCATAGACTTCCAGCAATAGGCAAAGACTTCTTATTAAAGAGTCTTTTTTTCTGCCAAGATGATTATGTACCTCTGCAGCTGAGTAAAGGTACATAGCACTGGCCAACACACATTTGGGTGGTTCAAATGTTAGACTTGTTTTGCTGATTCCAAAAATGGCACTTGGTTTCTCCTATCAGCTCTGGTTTTTTGAGATATAGAAATATGCCATCTACCATTAACTGCAAGATAGACTCTGGCAATACGTGAAGCAAGAGTTGCCAAATGTACAAGCTGGGTTTAGAAAAGGCAGAGGAACGAGAGACCAAATTGCCAATATCCACTGGATACAGGGAGTTTCAGAAAAAACATCTATTTCTATTTTATTGACTATTCTAAAGCCTTTGACTGTGTGGATCATAATAAATTGTGGTAAGTTCTTGGTGGTATGGGCATACCAAGTCACCTTGTCTGTCTCCTGAGAAATCTGTATAACGACCAAGTAGCAACAGTAAGAACTGACCATGGAACAACAGACAGGTTCAAGATTGGGAAAGGTGTATGGCAGGGTTGTATATTCTCACCCAACCTATTCAAATTGTATGCAGAACTCATCATGTGATGTGCGGGGCCTGACAAATGCAGGGCTGAAGTTAAAATTGGTGGAAGAAACATTAACAACCTTAGATATGCAAATGATACCACTTTGATGGCCGAAAGTGAGGAGGCACTGAGTTGAAAAGCTGGGTTGCAGTTAAACATAAAAAAACTAAAATTATGGCAAGAAGACCGATTGATAACTGGCAAATAGAGGGAGAAAACGTGGAGGCAGTGACAGACTTTCTATTTCTACACGTGAATATGACTGTAGACACTAACTGCAGCCAGGAAATCAGAAGATGTTTACATCTTGGGAGGAGACCAATGACCAATCTTGATAAAAGTGTGAAGAGTCGAGACATCACACTGCAACGAAGATCTGCATAGTCAAGGCAATGGTATTCCACATAGTAACCTATGGATGTGAGAGCTGGACCATAAGGAAGACTGAGCGAAGGAAGATAGACGCTTTTGAACTGTGGTGTTGGAGGAAAATTCCGGGAGTGTCTTGGACCGCGAGAAGATCCAACCAGTCCATTTTCCAGGAAATAAACCCTGACTGCTCACTGGAGGGAAGGATATTAGAGGCAAAGATGAAATAATGAGAAGTCAGGAAAGCTTAGAGAAGACAATGATGCTGGGAAAAACGGAAGGAAAAAGGAAGAGGGGCCGACCAAGGGCAAGATGGATGGATGGTATCCTTGAAGTGACTGGCTTGACTCTGAAGGAGCTGGGGGTGTGACGGCCGACGGAGCTCTGGCATGGGCTGGTCCAGGAGGTCGCGAAGAGTCGGAAGCGACTGAACAAATAAACAACAAATTCTGTGTAGTGACCTATGGATGTGAGAGCTGGACCATAAGGAAGCCTGAATGAAGGAAGATAGAAGCTTTTGAACTGTGGTGTTGGAGGAAAATTCTGAGAGTGCCTTGGAGCGCAAAAAGATCAAACCAGGCCATATTCCAGGAAATAAACCCTGTCTGCTCACTGGAGGGAAGGATGTGAGAGGCAAAGATGAAGTACTTTGGCCACATAATGAGAAGACAGGGACAGCTTGGAGAAGTTAATGATGCTGGGGGAAATGGAAGGAAAAAGGAAGATGGGCCGACCAAGGGCAAGATGGATGGATGGCATCCTTGAAGTGACTGGCTTGACTCCGAAGGAGCTGGGGGTGTGACGGCCGACAGGGAGCTCTGGCATGGGCTGGTCCAGGAGGTCACGAAGAATCAGAAGCGACTGAACAAATAAACAACAAGCAGGATAAAAAGAAGACTGAGAGGGAGGGCATGATTTCCATGTTTACATATTTGAAAGGATGTCACTCTGTTGAATTGGTTGAGACTTTAGAGTCTCAACCAATTCAACAGAGTGACATCCTTTCAAATATACTATTAACTGAAAAACTATAGTATAGCTGGGGAGTGGCCACGGCTGACAGGGAGCTGGACCATGAGGTCACAAAGAGTCACAAGCGACTGAATGAATAAACAACAAACAACTATTCACTCAAAGAAAACCATGATAACTCTGTCTAAGAAACTAGAGTTGATGCTGTCTATCCAGTGCAATTTTCGGAACCAACACCCTAAATAACCCCAGGAACAGGCCTAAAAACCAAGATACCAAGAAAAAAATGCTGGTTAGGCTGTGTAGTTTATAGGTGACTTCTCCTGTTATTTGATGCTGTTCACCGGAATACCTTTTAGCTAGTAGTTGCTGTTTGCTTCCTAAATGCTCAAATTCTCTCAATGTGTTTCTCCTGTTCTGTTTTTTTTATTGCATTATAATTCTGTATTTGATCGCGTAATTTATTATCATGCACCATTTTGATGGATGGTACATTTCAAAAGTAAATCAACATTAAATTTTAAAATGTTCCATATATTTGCAAGTAAAAGCCCCTGACCTACTCCAATTCCCATATCATTGTTTGGTTGTCTTATTGTTTTGAAACAGCCCTGTCTGGCCCCAAGGGTAAACCTCCGCCTCTCTTGACAAAGTCTGTGAAAAGGACGATCCACCTCACTCCTTCCCCTCCCCTTCCACGTCTATCTGCAAAGCGGCCACTGCTTAGTAGCCGACCAGGGCTGTTGCCAACACCAGGTAATGGCTGGGTGCGCTTGGAGGGGTGGAGGCAGTTTGTTGTGCTTTCCTGATAGCTCTCATCCTGATTCATGTTGGTTAGTGCGGTGGATAGTGTGGATTCAAACCTGGGGAAAGTTACTTCAGAGCCCCGCTGTGGAATCCCAAACCTTGTAGTTACTTTCCAAACACTGGTTGGGCTTTTACTTTCAATCCCTATTCAAGTTGAAGGTCATAAGGTGGCATCGGGTAGCTGTGATATCTTAGGCCTCTTCATGATTCCAATAAAATCAAGGAATAAGAGGAGAAAATGAGGGTGTTAAATTGTAAACTTCTTAAGATCTTCTGGGGATGCCCTTCTCTCGCTCCCGCCCCCGTCTCAGGCGCGGTTGGTGGGGACAAGAGAGGGGGCATTCTCGGTGGTGGCCCCCCATCTCTGGAACTCTCTCCCTAGGGAGATTAGGCAGGCACCCTCCCTAGCCACATTCCGTAAGGAATTAAAGACGTGGATGTTTCGTTGTGCCTTGGACTGATGACGCCTATGAGAAATGTTTGTATCGTGATCTATTTTCACTATTTAACCTGAATTCCTATATTACATCATTATTCATATATGTAAGTTAAACTGAGATGATCCTGTTCCTGTTTAATTGCTCTGATATCTCCCTTGCCATTTATGTTCCTATCCACCTTATTGATCTATTTAATATTTGTTTAATAATATTTATTTAATAAATATTTAATAAATATTTAAATATTCAATAAATACTTATTTATTTAATAAATATTATTTATTTATTTATTTTATATGTTTATTATTTATTATTTATTTAATAAATATTTATTTAATAATATTTATTTAAATATAAATATTTAATAATATTTATTTAATAATAGATCTTATTGATCTACTTTTTAATCAATTTGTATGTTGGCCCCTTCCCCCCCCCCTCTCCAAAATTTGGGTTACTGTTGCTTGATGTTTGTTGTTATTGTTATGCTGTTTTGTGTCATTTTAATTTGTAACTTGCTGTTGTTTTTCTTTCAATTGTATGTTGCCTGGGCTTGGCCCCATGTAAGCTGCCCTGAGTCCCCTTGGAGAGATGGAGGCGGGGTAGAAAAATAAAGTTCTTCCTTTAAAAAAATTAAATCCTGCTAAATTTCTGCTCCCCTTTCAAGTAGAAATCCCCCTTCTTTTCCTAACTATTTCCTTCATCAGGGTGATAAAGATCTTACATTATCAATTTTCCAGAGTAAAGACTTGGGAGATTAGTGTTATTTTACTTTTGAATTTCACTCCACTTAAACAGGGCTGGGAATCCTTAATCAGAAGTAAAATAAAAAGTTCCAAGAAGGTTATGGCTCCAGATATTTTTAGCTAGCTATACCATTTTCTGGCTTGACATGGTGGATACTATTCTGTCTTATGTGGCTCATGCTTGTCTGGCCATCCGCCAGAGTCCCTGAGCATTGCAAAGTACTGTATTTCAGATACTTCTCAGTAATGGTGAATCGAGACAGACTTTAGGTATGAGCCAAGTTAGAAGCCAGTGCCCTTTGCATGTGTATAACTTTAAACATCACTTAAAAGCAGCTCATGTTTAATTTCAAGCCGTATATGAGAGAACTGAGCTTTATAGTCATGTGGATGTGGGCCAGAGCCATTTGTAATGTGTGTCTGTAGCCTTCTTGACTGCCAAGAGCTTGGAAATAATATCCTCAAAGTTCAACAGGTCAGGCGGGAGAATTGCTGTATTTAGATTGTCTTCCTTCTCCAAAAAATATTTTTCTTCGGATTGTACTCTGAAATTGCTGGGGCTTTTTGGTCTCATTTGCTGAATGAAAAATGTGCTTGCTGCATTACATTCCCCTGCGTCTCTTCTGTATTTACATTTGTTCGTGTGTGGGCACCCTGAAGTGGCTTAACTTTTGCACTTTGTAAGTCAGAGGAGCTGGAAAGGGAAGGAGGGATGCTGCTTTTGCCACATGCACATCTCTCAACTTTACTTTTAACGGAAAGGGGAGCAAATTGCAAGTATTTCAGAAATATTTATCAAACAGTTTAATCATCAAAGAAATTTCCAGTTAACAGAACAGAAAACTATACCACTATTATTAGTAATATAACGTGTAATATATAATATTATTTATTTATTTATTTATTTATTTATTTATTTCAAATATTTGTACCCTGCTTATCTCTACCCCCAAAGGGGGACTCAGGGCGGCTTACACTGGCAACAATTCGATGCCCCATCTATACAACAGATAAAACAACAGTTACGTAATAAGTAAACAATAATTTACATTACAAAAAAACATTCAAAATAGTACAAATAGTCCGAGTTCAACAATCAACAACTTAATCCAAGGCCAGTCCACAAATCATTTTCCATTGCATTGTCATCATTTTTATTGTCAACCTGCTATCCGAATGCCTGGTCCCATAGCCACATCTTCAACTTTTTCCTAAAAGAAAGGAGGGAAGCAGTTGACTTAATTTTGCTGGGGAGCGAGTTCCACAGGTGGGGGGCCACCACTGAGAAGGCCCTGTCCCTTGTCCCCACCAAGCGCATTTGTGACGAAGATGGGATCGAGAGCAGGGCTTCCCCAGAAGATCGTAAATTTTGAGGTGGGACGTAAGGGGAGATACGTTCGGACAAGTAGATTGTATTATTATTAGTATTAGTATTATATTGTATTACATTGTAATATTATCAATATTATATGTTTATACAATGTATTATATTGTTGCTGGGGGGAGGGGCTCCCAACTGATGAGCCAGGAATCATGGTGGAACTGTGTCTTCCTGGCTCCCCTTCTTCACTCTGGCCCGAGAGCAGCAGGGTATATCTCTAAAATAGACCTCTGAAATACACCCCTAATATGTATACGTTTCACCACTACCATTTTGGATCACATACTTGCTCTTCCTTTTTGCAGCTTCTCTGTCGAAATCAGCGCACCACCATTGGGTGCGCAAGCCAAAGTTTCAGGTTTGATGGGACTCCAGGATTAATAACAGAATGAACTGTCAACCCCGATGGCAACGACCATCTTCCAAAACAGCAGAGCGTGACATATATATGTTGTTCATACCTCCAGGCAAGCGTAAACATGCATCAGTTTTTGTTGTACACATTCCTGAGAACTTTCTTTTCTTCGTCTCCTTTTTTTTTAACTTGAGTGGAAAAATAAAAATACACATTTGTAGGAGGGTTAGTTTTAGATTCATAGTATTAATATGTTTTGAAGCAGTAAAATCCCCCAATAAAAGAATTTATTTCCAGAGTTTGTAATTTGAGTTCTTTGTGGCTTAGGCTCCATTTGTTTTGAAGTATTCCAGCCCAATGCGTACTCTGCTCAAGAAATGGATTTCTGATGTTTAGTGTATAATACAGTTTAGAAAGGCTGGACAGCAGTTGCCTTGCAAAGTCAGAACTTCCAGTAATTGAGAACAATCCTACTGACTTCTATAGAAACTTTGGAATAGTAGTAAATAATCACATTTACTTTTCCACCAGAATTCTTGTTAATTTATATAATTAATTCATGCATATGAACACACTTTAGAAAAATATTATAAACTTCCCCCTTTAAAAATAATACATGCTATCCAGCCCTTTGTCTGAATCCAAGGTGTGAATTGAGAGTTTTACTGGTGCGCCAACACATCTATACACATAATAAAAGTGAAAACTTGTATGTGGCTGGGCAACCGTTTCCTACTTCTTTCAACTCTGTCTGCAAAACAAACAGCAGAACTGAGTGGCAACTAAACATACTGGAGGGGTTTGGGGGATTGAATCCACATGATGGAAGTTGTAGTTCATGCTGCATCAAGACACAGCACTGTGATCCCCACGACAGTGTACCTGGACCACATTTGGCACACAGAACTCCCATGACCTAAAAAAATTACTGGAGAGGTTTGGGGAGAATTCACCTTGATTTATAGCCGTTGTAGTTCACCTACATCCAGAGAACACTGTGAACCCAACCAACGATGGATCTGCACCAAATTTGGCACACATGCCCAATAAGCCCAACTTTGAATACTGGTGGATTTCGGATGGAATTGGCCTTGACATTTCTTAGTTGTAGATACTGGGATTTATAGTTCACCTGCAATCAAAGAGCAGTCTGCAACCACCGATGATGGACCTGGACCTAACTTGGCACACAGAACCCCTATGACCAACTTAACATACTTTAGTGATTTGATGGGACTGATCCACCATGGTGGGAGTTGTAATTCATCCTGCAGCTGGAGAGCACGCTGAACCCCATGGATGATGCATTTAGAGCACTTTTGCCCAACATGACAAACTTAAAAGTATTGCTAGAGTTTCAGGGAGATAATAATAACAACAACAACAACTTCCGAATTCAGACTGACAGAGTTTTGGAGCACAAGACTCCTGACCTCATGATCGTAATAAAAAAACAAAGTATGGATCGTCGATGTTGCAATCCCAGGTGACAGGAGGATTGAAGAGAAACAACTGGAAAATCTGACATGATATGAGGATTTAAAGATCGAACTGCAAAGGCTGTGGCCCAAGCCAGTCAAGGTGGTCCCAGTGGTGATCGGCACACTGGGTACAGTGCCTAAAGACCTTGGCCTGCACTTAAACACAATTGGCGCTGATAAAATTACCATCTGCCAGCTGCAAAAGGCCACCTTACTGGAATCTGCACACATTATTCGCCGATACATCACACAGTCCTAGACACTTGGGATCCAATACAACAACCAGCAGAGTGATCTTGTCTGCTGTGGACTCACCTTGTTGTGTTTCAAATAATAATAATAATAATAATAATAATAATAATAGTAATTGTAATTGTAATTGTAATACTTTATTTATATTCCGCTCTATCCCCCCAAAGGGACTCAGGGCGGATAACCTGGCATGATGTGAGTTGTAGTTCACCCACAACCTTATGCATTTTGTAAAATAAAAATATAACCTGTCAATGCCGGGTACCTATGCTAGTTTTATTAATAAAAACTACAGCTAATGAAATGTCAATTCCTAAAAGCAATGTTTTGTTAAACTTTCCTTTCAAGCTGCTTCTTCTCTCTCAAACCCACCACATATTTTGGTGCATTTTAGAATTTTAACACAATCTGGTGAGCCTGTTACATCAAGATGCCAACTGGATGGGTGACTAGCAAAAAGACATCTTGGCTTATTACACAGAAGGCCAAATTGCCTTTCTGTTTAAAGCAGTTCACTAGCATTTGTTCTGAATAACCCATAAAGTGAAAAACTGCAATGTATGCACAAGCAGTTGTGTGCTTAGGGACCACAAAATCAAACCTTGTGCCACTTGAGAAGTTGCAAAACAATACAAAATTCTACTAGTATACAGCTTGCTAGTGCCACACTGAATTTAGGGTACATCTCTAAAATAGATCTCTTTAATATATGTCAGAAATACTAAAAATTAACTAGTTATTTTTAATTACAAAAATGTGAGTCAAACACTGAAAAGGTTAAATGGATGCAATGACTCAACAAAAGCTGCAGTTCCATATAACCAGGTGTGCCTGTAACTTAGTAGCCCTTAGTCTGAGGGAGCTCTCAGTGTTAGCAGACCTCAATGAGAGAGGCCTCAGTATGATAGGTATTTTATGGCACCATAAAAAGGAAATACCAGAAAAATGCTGGCAATCAAAGGAAGGAGGAAGTCTATGATCAAGGGCTCTTTGTCATAGAGTATGGAGCAACACCACCCCCTTTGGCCAGAATCAAGCACAATCTCCAGAACGCCAAAGTTGGGAAAAAATGCCGATATATACCTCTATCTGTTGTCTATCCTGTTAAAGGCATTGAATGTTTGCCATGTACGCATTCTGTGATCTGCCCTGAGTCCCCTTCAGGGTGAGAAGGGCAGAATATAAATGCTGTAAATAAAATAAATAAAATAATAATAGGCTTCAGTGTTAGTAGACCTCGGTATGAGGAAGGCTTGATGTGAGAAGATTTGGTGAGAGAAGCCCCAGGTTGAAGGCCATCGTGTGTGAAGGCTACTGTGTGTGAAGCTCCTGTTTAACTTCGGTATGAGAATAGGCTCTGTGAGAGCGAAGCTGTTTATCTGCATGAGAAAGAAGCCCAGTGTGGAAGCAAAGAAGGAAGTATAAATAACTTTGTGTTATGGAAAGCTTGTTCCTGTAAATAGTACAACCATATTATTTTGCTATAAAGGAAAGCCTCCTATGGAAGAGATAACGTTTGCCTGTGTGTTTTTGTTCTTTTTATCACTTGGCTACTGGTGCTGGTTCACGCTGCTGCTAATAAGTTGCTCAGCTGTAAATTTATGAGGAGGGTCTTTTGTTAATAACCCTACTCGCTCAACATCTGGCACCATTTGAACTGCTATAATTCAATGTGATGGCAACCTGAGAGATGTGTAAAGCTCTAGTGTGAAGGCTGCTGTGTGTAACAGGCTACTTTGTTGAGCTCCTGTGTAAGTTTGGTGTGAATGGAAGCTCATTGAGAGCAAAGCTGTTTATCTGTATGAGAAAGAAGCCCAGTGTGGAAGCAAAGAAGGAAGTATAAAGAACTTTATTTGAGAGATGTGTAAGGCTCCAGTGTGAAGGCTGCTGTGTGTAAAAGGCTACTGTGTGAAGCTCCTGTGTAAGTTTGGTGTGAGTGGAAGCTCAGTGAGAGCAAAGCTGTTTATCTGAATGATAAAGAAGCCCAGTGTGGAAGCAAAGAAGGAAGTATAAAGAACTTTGTATTATGGAAACCTTGGTCTTGTAAATAGTGCAACCACATTATTTTGCTATAAAGAAAAGCCTCCTAAGGAAGAGATAACATTGGTATGTGCGTTTTTGTTCTTTTTATCACTTTGAGCTACTGGTACTGGGTCACGCTGTTGCTAATAAGTTACTCAGCTGTACATTTATGAGGAGGTTCTTTTGTTAAGCCCACTCACCCAACAATATGTATATGTTTCACCACAAACCTGGAAGTAAACTGGTTTATGGTTGTGCTCTCCTACCTGAGTAGTGCAGCCTAGGCCGCTGATGTTTAGAAGCAATTAGCAAAATCTTAATTTAAAGAAACATTCTCATATATTTTACAGTTCCCATTGTGGGTATTTAAGAGTTTTGTCAAACTGCACATTCATTAGCCAGCTTTGTTCCTTCACAGAAGAACCTGTAGTTCTACTCCATTCCTGCATTTCTCTACTTACTGGAAAACTTGACTTTCACCAGAAGAGGGCAATCTTTGCCTAAACAAAAATTCTGCCTCCTTTAAATTTGGAAAAATAGTAGGAATCAGTAAGTAGGAAGAGATGAAATTCCTTTAGCAGCAACCATCACATTAATAATATGTAACGGAAAGTTTTGTGAAAGCTAAAGAGAGGATTTAACTGGCATAGTCTTTATGGACTGCAGCCCGCTTCTGTAAAGGTTTATACTAATCAATATGTTTGGCACATGACTTTCTGTATTAAATGCTATATTAGTCTCAAACAGTAGACTCAAACAGTCAATCAAAGCTGACATACTCACATAAATAACACTATGTAACATGATTATTGTTCCTGAGTTATAATTGTCATTTCTTAATTGACTCTTATCATAAAAGCATGGAAAATGTTTATTAAAGTGTAAAAAGTTTGTTTTTGCAGGAAAACATCCTGCAGCACATTTTGCTCCTTTTTCTCACTGAATATCACATCAAGTCTCAACCAATTTAGCATAAAATCAAGTCTTTAGAGTAGAAAAACTGCTTTCAAAGTAAGTACCACAAAATTAAACAGAAAATAACGATTTCAACACCAAGAACAGAAACGTTTTCAAATTTTGTTACACTGTATAATCGGATTAAGGCCTAAAATGGTCCACCTGAAAATTGATGTGATATTCTACTTAAAGCAACATGGAAGAGTAGAATGTGCTTTCTTGATTGTGTTCGAAGGTAACTGGTTATGTCTCTGTCTTATTTATTATTTTTCAACCGTCAGCTTGAGAATGTGAGGGATGTGAGGGCTGGACCTTAGGGAAAGCTCAGCGAAGGAAGATAGATGCTTTTGAACTGTAGTGCTGGAGGAAAGTTCTGAGAGTGCCTTGGACAGCGAGTAGATCCAACCAGTCCATATTTCAAGAAATAAAGCTCGACTGCTCATTGAAGGGAAGGAGATTAGAGGCAAAGATGAAGTCCTTTGGCCACATAATGAGAAGTCAGGAAAGCTTAGAGAATGATGCTGGGGAAAATGGAAGGAAAAAGGAAGAAGGGCCGACCATGGGCAAGATATAAATATTAATGATA